ATAATCATATATAGTATGTGACACATTTTCCTACAGCACAGACAGGCCATGTCATTCTGCTAGATGCTTGGATGAAGAAAACGGAGATGCCCTTAGAACCACACCTTAGTTAGGAAAAAACTGTCTGTATTCAAGTTATAAAGCACTCCTAAATCATGTGGTACACTGTGATATTTTCTACTCTTGTTTGTTTTAATCCATGTTGGTTTTGATCCCACTAAAATGATTTCACAATTCATTAAATGGATCATGAATCAATAAAACATTGCTTTGGAAGACGTTATTTTCTAACCTTAAGACTATTGCAGAAAGTTTTTCACAGTATTTGGTCAATTTTTAAAAAGTTAAACATGTTCTTTTGCAAAGAAATCAAGATATTATCTTATAAAAAGTAGTTTCAAAATTCTAGCCACAAATGCAAAGTACCATTGTTATATACATTTTTACTAATATGTTTAGAAAATAAAGCACTTACCATGTAACATCCCACAAGGAAAGCAGCATTTGCTTGTTTTCGCTGATCAGAGCCAGTAAAATGAATAATTTTCTTCCTTATCATTGTAATGGACTGAATAAAAACGAATAGTTGTTAGTATTTTCTTTTTAATTTCAAGTTTTTAACATTTTTATTTTCTGATTTTTAAGATAAATACCAAAATCACAAAATATAAGCATTCAGATTAGGAAGAACTTTAAAAAAAATTAACTTTAATACCAAAGACTGTGGTTTAACTATTGTGATAGGAAAAAAAAAAAAAGTTTCACTAAATATATGCTTATGTGTTCTACAATTTTGGGAATGTCTAGTTAAGTATACCATGTCCCTTCCCATAAAAGACACATTCTGGGATTAGAATGAATTACAGTTAAAGAGGAAAGATAGTATGAACAGATACATGCTTAAAGCACAGGCTACTTCTGAAAGATTATACAAGAAGTTGGAAAAAAGGTAGTGGGAGTTACTTTTTCTTTCCTGTTACTACTGTTCAATTTAAAAAAAAAAAAAAAAACCTATTCCCAAAACTTTTAAATTAAAATAAAATTGTACATACCCACTTAGATACATATCAAAACAGAAAATAACAAGCATTAGAAAGGATATGGAGAAAATGAAATCCTTGCACATTGCTGGTAGGAATGTAAAATGCAATAATCACTATGAAAAAACGTGAAGGCGCCTCAAAAAGTTAATTACCATATGACCCAGCAATTCTACTCCTAGTTATATACCCATAAAAACTGAAAACCAGTAGTCAAAACAAAAACGTATACATGAATGCTAACAGCAGTACTATTTACAACAGTCAAAAGATGAAAACAGTGAGAGCCAGGACAAGAACAGATATAGTAGGCACACCCTTGTTCACTGCAGCATTATGTACAATAGCAAAGAGATGGAAACAACCTAGATGCCCATCAAGAGAATGGATAATCAAACTATGGTACTATACACAATAGAATAATATGCAACACTAAAGAAAAACGTAGAATCTATGAAACACCACATAATGGATGAACTTGGAGGACATTATGCGAGTAAAATAAGTTAATCACAGAAGGACAAATATTGCATTAGTTCATTATTGTAAAAAGTCAAGGAAAGGTTTATATATGGAACGAAACTTTCTTTGTTGGTTACCTGGAGTGAGAGGGGAGGGGAGAGAACAATGCTAGACAGGTAGAGACAAGTATTGATTTGGGAGAAGAGAAGGGCAATGTATCAAATATGAGTGACCAACACAGTGGCATTGAGGAAGCAGAAGACGTAGAACGGTACATGGGAGTTACAGACGACAAAGATGAATCCTTTTGCACATATAGTACTGCATTGCCAGTGAAGGCAAACATTGATTTATGGGTGGATACATGGGTGGACAGGCCGAACAATTAGGTTATGCCTATGCAGGGGGAAGTATGCCCTAGACCATGTAGAGGGTTGGCAGACAATGTTTCTACAAGTGCATTTGTATGTTCCGTAAGAATTCCCAAGTATACAGTAGAGCTGACAAGGGACAAGGTTGTAGTCACTTCTCGGCCACAGCTAGCTACCCAGAGGGAGCAAGCAGTTGACCTCTGGGTGCAGGACAATAGTCCCAGGGGACACTGTGCTCAATTGGCATGGCATACTACACAGAAACATTGTTCCACATCATACTTTGTGAGTAGCAACTGGGATCTTAAAAGCTTGCAAGCAGTCATCTAGATGCAATGATGGGTCTCTCTTCATCCAGAGCAAAGAAGAATGAAGAAAACCAAAGATGCATGGAAACAATTAGTCCAGCAACTGGTATACCATGTGGTCCTCAGCCTATATGACCAGAAGAACTAGATGGTGCCCAGCTACCACCGTCAATCACTCAGAAGGGGATCTATGTAGGAGATCCTGGATGTGGGAAAGCGATGTGGAATAAAATTCAAAATCATTTAAAGAAAATGGGGAGGGGGAACCAGGTTTGCTGGTCTGATAGAGCATGATGGAACCACTGAGACTATGGCCCCTGGCTGTCCTTCAGGTCTGGAATTAAACCTACTCCTGTGGCTTCCAGCCAAACAAAAGATAGGCATATGAGCTGAACATTTACATTAGGTAGATACACTCCTTGGAAAGAATAATCATGGGAGAATAGAAGGGCTGTGTATGCACTGGGAGACAGCTCAGGGAGCAGGAGTGCATGGGAGGGAAAGATACAGAGAAGAGGTAACTATGGGGAGGAAGTGGGAGGGGAAATGTTCCACTGTGGGAAATTTCAGTCAATGTCATGAGACAAAGTGTATGTGAGCTGTTGTATGGAAAGTAAATTTTTTCTGTAAACTTTCACCCAAATCACAATCAAAATTTAAAAAAAAAGATGAAAATAATCCAAATATTCAAAAACTGAGAAACTATAGTATATCCATACAATGTAATATTATCCAGCCATAAAAAAGAATAAAGTACTGATACATAATGTGGAATGAACACTGAAAACATTAAGATAAGTGAAAGAAGCCAGACACAAAAGGCCATATTTATTTGACTCCAATTATACAAAATAACCAAAATAGGCAAATTCACAGGGATAAAAAGTTGATTTGTGGTTGCTAGGGGATGGAAAGAGAGGGGACTAACTGCTTAATGGATACAGGTTTCCTTTCAGGGTAATGAAAATGTTTTGGAACTAGATAGAGGTGATGGTTGCACAACATTGTGGATGTAATTAATGCCACTGAAGTGAACACTTTTAAAGGGTTAATTCTATGGTATGTGAATTTTATCAAAAATAAATGGATAAAGAAACAAGTAAGAACAGGCAAAAATAACTCATGCTGTTAGAAATCAGGATAGTGAATAGCCTTGAGGGACAAATGCAGAGAAAGTAACTGCAAATAGTCCTAAGAGGAGCTCTTCTGGGGAGTTAACGAGTGTTATGGGGGATGATCACCCATGTATGTTCAGTTGGTGAAAATTCACTGAGCTGAATACTAAGATCTGCACACATTTCCACAAGTACATTATACTTCAATAAAGTTAAAAATAAAAAGGATATGGAATTTAAAAACAAAAGGAATGCATGACTAGGAAGCAATTCCTCAGCTGTACTTCATTAACTTCAGTAGAAACGGATTCCATCAACAATAAAGGCCAGGATATACTCAGTTCAACAAACTGTGTGTAATTCCTTGTCTTCTGTGAATCAGATCCCAGTGTTTCACTGATGCATGTATATTATTAATCCCTTTAGTTTACACGAAGAGATCCAAGTTAATTAAAAACAAACAGCCATCCAGCAGCATGCGCACATGCCACTCTTCATTCAAACTCTAGATACACTTTTGTCACTATTAATTGAACTAATAGTAATTTTTCAATCAGGTTCATGTTTAAGAACTATGTTGTAAGTTGTTCTAGTAAATGAAAAAACAAAAAGGAATGATACATTCTTGGTTGACCCAAAGGGTGAAAAACCATAAATTGCTGAATTTAAAAAAAAGAAAAAGAAAAAAACTTTCAAAATTAAAGGAACAATAAAAATAGAGTTATTTTTAGCTTCCTAGCCCAGCATAAAACAAAGGACTTGTCACAGGCAACTGGAAAAAGGGGTGAGAAAAAACACAAACACACAAGGCCCTAAGTGCTTATATTACTATTTGAAATAGAAGTAGTGGCCAGAAAAGAACAAGTAAGTACATATCAGTAATCAATGTCAATATAGTATAAAACCAATTGAAAAAACATGAAAACAAAAAAAGAATCAACACAAATAGAAACTGGTTCTTTGAGAGCATTAATAAAACTGACAAACCATTGGCCAAAATGACAAAAAGAGAAAATGAGGAGATGCAAATAACCAAAAAAAGAAATGAGCTGGGTGACATTACAGCAGAATCAACTGAGATACAAAGGATCATAATGAAATATTATGAAAAAATATACTCTAACAAATTTGAAAACCTAGAAGAAATGGATAATTTTCTAGAAACACACTACCTACCTAACTAACACAAATAGAGACAGAAAACCTGACTAGACCCATAAGAACAGAAGAAATCAAAGATGTCATAAAAAAAATCCCAACAGAAAAACACCAATGGCCCAGATGGTGTCAATGAAGACTTCTACCAAACATTCAGAGAAGAGCTGACACCAATTCTACTCAAACTATTCCAGACACAGAAAAGGAAGGAATACTCCCTAAATTCATTTTATAAAGCCAGCATAACCTTGATACCAAAGCCAGGCAAAGATACCATAAGAACTGAAAATTATAGATCAATGTCCTCATTACTAAAGATAAAATACAAATTAAAAATTAAAAATTACGCTCTGGTGGCATAGTGCCTAAGGCACTTGACTGCTAACCAAAAGGTTGGCGGTTCAAACCCACCAGCCACTCCTCGAAGGAAAGGTTAGGCAATCTACTTCCATAGAGATACCACTTCAGAAATGCAAGGAGGGGTCGCTAAGAGTCAGAGAAAACTCAACAGTACATAACAACAACAAAGATGTCAAAATTCTCAACAAAACCGTGGGCAACAGAACTCAAAAGCATTATCAAAAAAATAATACATCATGATCAAGTTGAAATTCATACCCAGGATGCAAGGGTAGTTTAGCATTAGAAAAATCAATTGCTCTAATTCACCACATAAATAAAACAAAGGAAAAGAATCACATGATCATCTCAATTGATGCAGAAAAGGCCTCTGATAAACTCTAACACCCTTTTCCTGATAAAAAAATTCTCAGCAAAATAGGAATTAGAAAGGAAATTTCTCAATACAATTAAGGATATATACACAAAAACAACAGCCAATATTATTCTCAAACAGAGAGAGATTGAAAGCATTCTCCTTGAGAACAGGAACAAGGATGCCTATTATCACTACTCTTATTCATTAGAGGCACACCTTGGAGATACTGTAGTTGGGTTCCAGACCACCTTAATAAACCAAATATCACAATAAAGCGAGTCATACAAATTTTTTGGTTTCCTAGTGGATATAAAAGTTATGTTTATACCATACTGCAGTCTATTAAGTGTGCAGCAGCATTACAAAAAAGTTTGAAATACTGTGAAAATTACCAAA